GTCTGACCGTGCGGGGCAGGGGCGGCTACGACGCTCGAGCAGAGCAGGTTCCGTACTGCCGCTCAGTGTCACGTCTCCATGGCAACGAACCCGTCCGTCACAGATCTGCTACAGCCCTCCCCGACCTGCGCAGCGGTGACTTACGACCAAAGCTGTCGTAAATGGCGGGCCCGAGTTGTGAGCGATCCGCGTGTAGCAGTGGGGGCCAGCAGGAGCAAACTGAGTTATGGCCAATTGCTTGGCCTTAGCCAGTCGTAAGTCGGGAGACGCTGCACGTGCATTTCCCTCCCCCCTTCCAGTAACTTGTCCGCAGCCCCACTCAGCTTTGGCCCCCGCCCTGTGGCTCCGCATTTAAAGTGTATTAGGAGCCAGGTGGGCAGGCAGCCCTGCTCAGTTCCAGCTTGTGCCGGTTTCAGGAGCTTTGACCCCCCCTTCCCTCTTAGACAGGGGCTGCTGCCTCTTTATCACTGCACTGGGTGACAGGCAGCCAGTTCAGAAGGGGAGCCCTGCCCCTGGGGACTATAGAATAGCCGACTAACCAGTACAAATTCATGAGGTTACTCAATTAGTAAAGTACCTGATATTTAACATCCCTAGTTTATGCCCTGTAACAGGAAGGTATATAGCCCTCTTATTCTGTCTAATGTAACTCTGACCATTCTTATGTACATAAGCTAACCTAACAAAATCTACTGAGCTGTAAGCCTCAGTGATATCTTGTAATTCCATAGCAGAAGTGTGCAATGTATATTGTAAAATATAATGTTGAATTTCTCTAGTTCAGCACCCCAGGGACCTGGTCAGTGTTAAGCCAGAAAATTTGCAGGATCATGGGAGATCAATATAGCCTAGCAGCATTACCAGTACTTCCATTGCTTACTTATGGCATCTAAGAACTGCATCCGCTTATCACTTGCACTTGGGTTCTTAGAAGACATTTAGGGGTAAATTAGAGCTAGATAACAGCGCACAGCACTGAGTGCCCAGATTATTGGCTGTAAACAAACTTGATGGGACCATAGGAAACTTGGCCTCACCCATGGTAAGTGGACATCTGGTTAACTAAAATCATGCTGGACAACAGATGTTGCAGGACTAGAGAATGTTGGACTAAAGAGGTTCAATTGTATGCTCCTGTGCAAAGATGTAATGGTAGTTAAGTTAATGGCAGAGTGGAAGACGAGTCAGTTCTTTTACCATGTCTTCTGTGAATGTGAACAGAAAATGGCTTGTTGCTCACTAGTCACTGTTAGTGCTGAAGAAACAGACAAAGTAGAGAACAGTAAAGTTAAGTTTAACAAATCCAGTTCCCCCAATGTACAAATTTGTCTAGGTGACTGTAACATTTTTTTTTCTTATAACAAATGTCCAGACTGAATGTGCATTTTTGGGTGGAAACCCCCTCTTACTGCAAAAAACCCCCGTCCCTGCTAAATAGAGTGGGTGTGTTGTGAAATGCCTCCATTCCCAGTGGTCATCGATGTTACCATTTTAGAAGTGATTTTTGGGACATCAGAAAGTTGTGATTAACAAGATTTATCACTCCAGCACATAAACTACATAGTAAATGTATGCTTTAGTCACAAGATCAGTTCCACCAATATTCTTCATTTAGATTCTGTTGAAAATCTGGCTGTCCATTTAGTCTTAAATATTGATTTTAGGAGCATAACTCTAATAAAAAAAACCAAATCCCTTACTTCTGTTCAGTCACTACAGGGCAGTTTCCCCTCTCCCACAGAGATTGGGCAATTCCAGGAAATATATTAATCAGATATGTGAAGAATCATTACAAATCACAGGAAACTCCTCCTGCAGCATGCTATCCAGAAACTAAATACCAAGTGTGGTTTTAATATCTAGTTAAACCCAGCTTAATAAGAGTTGTAATTGGAAACGTGACCTCAGATGTGAGTCAGCCTTCTTTTCCCATCTCTGTGGGTGTGCACTTTGAAAGAAAATCTCATGTTCACCTCACACAATAGATATTTGCAAGTGTTCATGTGTAACGTTCTTAATTAGGCTAGGCTTCTCTACCCAGTTTTCGACTGATGTACTGTATCCCATTAGGCAGGTTTTTTAATTCTTCTGAGCCTTCATTTCTCGGAGTAAAACAGTGGCTGTATAATTCACAGAATTGTGAAACTTCATTAAAATTTATAAACTGTTTTGAGATCCTTTAGATTAAACATGGTACAGAAGTTCAAAAAAGTATTGTTCTGTGATGCATTTTGCTATTGTGCAAGATAATTTGAATAAGACACAAAAATGCCTTTTAAGAAGATTTAATATAAATAATCTGTGAGAAACAAAATAAACTTCCTAAGATGCTGCATGGTAGAAATAAAGCCTTAATCACCATCACATGATGAAGTCTAGGGGATTCACCCTCTAACAGTCTCTTTTTTTTTTCTCCTTGAGCAGATTGTTTGCTGTGTGGATTCTGGATGCTTGAGTGTTGCGGTGCAGCCCACTAAAATTCGGAAGTGCATCTTAAAGCTGTTAAAACATGGCCTCTAAAAGAGCTTTAGTGATTCTGGCTAAGGGAGCAGAGGAGATGGAAACGGTTATCCCCACTGACATAATGAGAAGGGCAGGAGTAAGTATGCAAATCACTAGAACTTTTTATGATCGTTTGTTGAAACCAAAGGTATTCTCACCAGCTTGATTCAGTGATGGGGAGATTGTATTGTTCATTGGCCTCCCAGATGAAAATGGAGCTGGGCCCTTTTATTTGGGGCATGAAAGACACATACTCATGCACAAGTACTAATTGTTGTACTTCGGTATTGTACTTCAGTACCTTCATACTGTCAGTGTCAGCGTTGTCTGGCCTGGGTCGTCCTGGCGCACTCCTGATACGACCTCTACTCCATCAGTGATGATAAACTTTCGGCTGCGTGCATAACAATCAGTACTCCCTTTATCTAATGTTAGACCCCGTACACTTGAGGCAACACAGGAGATCTCTGAAAGCCCCCGGAAACGACAGATGCAGGCAAGGTTTGAAATCAATCAAGCAGGTTTATTGTCAAATGCGAAGCTCTAACAGTTGGTAACAGAGATCCTACAATGTTACACCAATGTGCATTATGGCCTGCGTTGACAAGGTACCAACACCAGGCAGTCCTATTGCCATATAACAGATATTAACAGCGGTCAGTCAGCGTTAAGCCACTGTGCATTCTGTAAGTTTAGGCAATGACACCTGCCGTTCAGGCGCCTCAAGGTCAGCCGGTGAGCACCCTTTGCAGTGTCCTTTTATAGATAGGTACAAACAACTTACATCACTTCTTTACGTACCAGATTGCTACCCTTTGTTGCCTAGTTACCACCTCTTACCTTGTGCAAGGGGGGCTTACCTTCTGTTCGTCATCCTGTCAGTTCTGAACTGGTCCTGAACCTAAGTTGGTATGTGCCTAACTCCTAGTGAGTCCTTGTACCAGGACATTCCTTAAGATGTTCCATTACTCCCTTTTGGCTTACAGTCTGTACTTGGTGCTTCCCTGTGTCTTTCCATGCTCCACCTAACTTACACAATGACACAGTTATCAGTAGGGCCTCTTTCCTGGCTCCTGTGTTCCTGAGCCAAAGTCTTGCTCACTAGATTCTAGGCCTGTTGCTGCTTTCATGTTACAGGCCTCTATTCAGGCCTGCTGACTCCATGTTCCTGATCTTCAATTTACTACACCAGTGTTTCCCAATTTTATTTGGCTGAGGAACCCATTTCAGCTTTTCAGAATTTCAAGGAATTCCTAGGTTTGTCAAGCAAAAAAAAAGGGGGGGGGCAGGGAAGAGGGACCCACCAATGCATGAAAATCACATTCCTTCCCCAAAACTCCCCACCCACCTTCCTTGAGGCCTCATCTGCTCTGTTCCCCTCCTCTCTATCACTTACTATCCCCAGGCCTTATACACTCTCACTGGGTTGAGACAGGAGGTGAGGGGTAGGAATGAGGGATTTGGGTGTGGGAAGGGGTGAAAAGTACAAGCTCTGGGAGGGAATTTGGATGCAGAGGAAGGAGATGTTGGCTCGGGGAAGGGGCTCCTGGCTCAGGAGTGTTGGGCTCAGGTGACAGGTTGGGGTGCTGAGCAATCATGGGCTTGTGAGACATACAGCTGTTTAAACAAAAAAAAAAAAAGGGGGGGGGGCAGGGAAGAGGGACCCACCAATGCATGAAAATCACATTCCTTCCCCAAAACTCCCCACCCTCCTTCCTTGAGGCCTCATCTGCTCTGTTCCCCTCCTCTCTATCACTTACTATCCCCAGGCCTTATACACTCTCACTGGGTTGAGACAGGAGGTGAGGGGTAGGAATGAGGGATTTGGGTGTGGGAAGGGGTGATCTGGGAGTGAATTTGGATGCAGAGGAAGGAGATGTTGGCTCGGGGAAGGGGCTCCTGGCTCAGGAGTGTTGGGCTCAGGTGACAGGTTGGGGTGCTGAGCAATCATGGGCTTGTGGATGTGAGGGTGCAGGAGTTTGGGCTGGAGATGTGAGGGACTCAGGGCAAGGAGGCTGTGAGTATGATGGGCTCTGGACACAGATTTGTGATGTGTGGATGATGCAGGAGTGTTGTTGCAGAAGACTGAGGATGTGGGGGTGCAGGAGTTTGGGGATGTAAGAGGCTCAGGACGGGGTTCTAGTGTATGATAGACTCAGATTTGGGGTCAGGTGGTGCAGGAGTGTTATGATGCTGCAGTGAGATGGGGGTTTGGCCCCAATTGGGGGCTTGTTGGCCAGGCTTCATTTTTAAATAAAATATTATGTCAAACTCAAAAGGTTTTAGCATTGTCTTTATTTATGAGAGGGGTGAGGAACCTGTTTTGATTCAAGGGCCACTGACCCACAGAAAAGTCAGTTGGGGCCACACAAGTAAGATGCCAAAAAAAAATCCAACAACCCTCCAAAAACCCCCAAGCCCCACTAATGTGGTCCCAAATGTGCTGGTGGGGGCAGGGGACAGAGTGAAAGTGGGGGCTGGGGAGAGGGTGCTGCTGGGTGGAAGAATGCTGGCTCAAGTGGCGGGGTGCTGGGGCGTGGTGCTGGGGTCAGGGACATGGTCCTGCTTGGCACTAGGGTGACTAGCAGGGTGCTGAGACAAGGAACAGGGTGGTGCTGGGTGCTAGCATGGATGGCAGGGTGCTGGGGCCAGGGCCAGCGTGGTGCTGAGTCCTGGGGTATGAGGCAGGGTGCTGGGGCCAGGGCCAGGGTGGTGCTAGGTGCTAGGGTGGATGGCAGGGCTGCCAAGGAGCGGGATAGAGATGGGGTGCAGGATCTGGGAAGGAGGTGGGGGACAGAAGGGAGCAAGGTCTGGGTAGTAGGTAAGGTGCAGAAGCAGGCTGGATTTAGGGTGTCTGGCCAGGGGGAGGGAGCAGGAGCAGATTGAGGGTAGGGTGTCTGGCTACGAGGGAGGGTGCAAGGAGAGGACTTGGGTAGGAGTTGGATCTCCCTGATCTGGCACTCTCTGGACCTGATTGGTCCCAGATGAGGGATTTTTGGACCAGGGGAGGTCATTTCAGGGCTCCTGGTCTTCCCCCGTCCCCACTAGGCTTCTTTGCACCTCTATCCCCTGCAACCCAACTGAGCTGCCCACTCCTGCTGGTTCCCTGCATTTCCCCCAAAACCATCCCCCACAATCCAAGGGAGTGCAGCACTAGTTCCCTGCAGCCCCTCACAGCCCAGCTGAGCCCCACACTGGTTCCCTGCATGCCTCCCCCATAGCACAACTGAGTCCTGGTTCCCTGCACCTCCCCCGAGCCCCACAAAATTGCTGAGCCAAGCACCGATTCCCTGCCCCTCCCTCTCCTTGGGTATGTCTACACTAGCCCCCTAGTTCGAACTAGGGAGGCTAATGTAGGCATTTGAAGTTGCAAATGAAGCCTGGGATTTAAATATCCCAGGCTTCATTTGCATCTTCCCGGGCGCCGCCATTTTTAAATGTCCCTTAGTCTGAACTCCGTGTCTGCGGCTACACGTGGCACGGAGTAGGTAGTTCGAATTAGGATCTCTAATTCGAACTACTGGTACACCTCGTCTGCACAAGCCCCTTCCTCTCCCAGCCCTTCCCCTTCCCCTACCTTCTGCCTCCCACTTTGTGGGGCTGGAGTCTGTGCTCCGTCCCCAGACTTGGAACCCACAACTCAGCTGCGCGGCGCAGCGCAGCACCCAGCAGTTTTAAAATCCCAGGCTGTGACGTTACGTCACGCCCAGGCGTCTCCCCGCCCACTGGTTTGAGCATGCCGCGCAGGGCAGCAGCAGCCGGCAGGGGGAGCTCAGTAAAGGTTGCGCACGACGGCCCGGGGCCAGAGCCAGGGGAGAGACGCTCTGGGGCCGGGGGGGGGGGGGTCGGGGCCTGCTCCAGCTCCAAATGTTGGTGGAGCATGGATACCACAAGCCCATACAACTCGCCGCCCGTGCCTCTGTTGGCTAGCCGGCTCTCTCTCTTTCAGAGGGGGTGGGGAAGTGCTGGCTCCTCGCGGAACCCTTCATTATGCTTTGCGGAACCGCAGGGTTCCCCGCAGCACCAATTGGGAAACACTGTACTACACTAATGATGAAAGAGCTCAACAAACAGCAAATTAAAGTCCTGGGCGTGGTGTCTCAAACTATGGGCTGCTGTGAGTCTCCGAGGCAAGCAAATCCATCAGGAACCGCAGAAGCCACCAAGTTTTCGTAGGGGCTTTGTCATGGTACTTACAGATTGCAGTCAAGTCACACCTTAAGCTTCTCTTTCTTAAGATAGATTCAAGTAGCTCAATCCTTTTATCTCTAGAAGGCAGGTTTTCTAGTCCTTTCCTCATTCTTGTGAGTTATTCTGAACCCTCTCCAGTGTGTCAACTTCCTTTTTGAATTGTAGACACCAGAACTGGAGACAGTATTCCAGCCAAGGTCACACCAGTGCTAGATACAGTTAAAATAACAAGGGCGGAGTTTCGAGAGAGGAGGGGGGCAGTAGCCATGCGCACCGGGACATGGCTTGCTTTTCTTCCTATTTCCTTGACAGTAAGGGAGCAAGGGGAAAGTACTTGGAGTCTGTGCATGCCCCTCACTCCTGGCTGGTGAAGGGAGGGGGCAGAGGTGTAAATCATGGAATCCAAGTATTTTCCCCTTGCTCCCTTATCATTGGGGGAATGGGAAGAAAAGCAAGCAATGTCCCAGTGCGCATGGCTGCTCCCTCCCCGCCCTCTTGAACTGCGCCCTTGTAAAGTAATCTCTCTACTCTGGCTCAAGATTCCCCATTTATGAATCAAAAGATTGCCTTAGCCTTTTAACCACAGCATTGCACTGGATGGGATTGTTCATCACAGTCCCCAAATATTTTTCAGAGTCACGGCTTCCCAGGGTGGAGTATGGCCTTCTTTGTTCCTAGATGTAGACATTTGCTTTTATCGACATTAAAATGAATATTCCAAACAGAATAAACACGTTCACTTATGAAGGAGTAAGGTGGCATTTTATTTTGGCTGTTTAATGTTCAGAAATGTGGGGTTCTAATCATTTAAATTCTCACTTTGTGTTTTTCAAACCTTGCATATCACACTTGCACCTGATGAAACTAGGATTATTGCCTATACTAGGAGGTACACAGGTGCTAAATAGGGAGAACTCTAAGGGTGGTAAGTGAGAAACTGTTTCATCCAAAGAAGTAGGTTGTACCCACAAAAGCTCATGATGCTAAAAGCAACATTTTTTGTTAGTCTCTAAGGTGCTGCAGGACCATTCTTTTTTTTTTTTTTTTTAAATGTCAGTTACAGACTAACATGGCTCCCCTCTGAAACATTTATGTTGTGAACCTAGCTGTGATTAAGTGTCTATTCTCCCCTCCAAATACATGGAAAACTACACCTCTTTCTGCACATCTGGTTGATGGCCTTGACTATCTTGCTCAAATCTCTTCTTGAAGCTTGGCTGTCAGCAATCTGTCATCCATCACCCCTAGAGTTCTCCCCATTTAGCACCTGTACACCTGCAAATATAGGCAATAATCCTTGTTTCATCCGGTGCAAGTGTGATACGTAAGATTAAAAAAACCCTGCAAAATGAGAATTTAAATTACTAGAACCCCACATTTCTGCACATTAAACAGACAAAATAAAATGCTATCTCGCTCCTTCTTTTTAGTCCTGTTACTTTGTTCACTCCCTTGTGCTGGTGCTTCTTGGGGCACAGACTTTTCCTTATTTTATACCTATCAAGTGCTGTGCACATCTATGGAACTATGAGAGTAAGGAGTCTGGAGCTGAATAAATAGCTTTAGTGAATGTCCTGTGAACCAGGGCCAGACAGATAATGGATCATTTAGCAGGCCCACTTAATTGGACCGTATTTAAACTAGAAATTTGCATAATGCTGGATTACATGATACATCTGTTAGATGTTCCAGATTCAAATAACTAATCTTACTGCAGGTACCTCTCATTTAATTTTACTTTTGAGGTGGGAAACTTTTGGTTTTAGTCTGATTCTTTTCGGTTTCTACTATTTCTTGGTTTAAATTATCTTTTGCACAAATTATAGCTCTGTGTATTTCTTTGGAATTGTCATCTGCACTCCCCAAAAGCAGTGCATTTTCCTCTGATTTTTGTCAGATCAAGGTGACTGTTGCAGGTTTAACAGGAAGAGATCCAGTGCAGTGTAGCCGAGATGTCTTCATTTGTCCTGATGCCAGTCTAGAAGATGCCAGGAAAGAGGTTTGTCGTTCTGACTTTGCATAATGCTTTACGGGCCCTTCTTTAGTTCACAGGGGACTAGGAAGGTTATTAGTAATGTCCAGTTTGAGTGATTGCAGCAACATTGCACAAACCCAGAGAGAGAGAATTTTAATTCTCTTCCCTTTAGTGTTTTCTTGCAACAGTATCTTAGTTTTGCACAATTTTTAAGTCCAGGTGTTTGACTTTGTAAAATGTTTAACTCCAACTTTAGTGTACATGTTACCCAGGCTCTCTGACAAAATAACATAATTTGGAACAACAGAGAGTTTCTGTTCAGGAAGGAAGTAGGATTGTAAAAACTTTAAAAAATCTCTAACTATGTAACCGAATTAAATTCAATTAGTTCCATGGTTAAAAGTTCTGGTGGCTGCTGGCCTCGCGGGCTCCCAGGGGTGGCTGGGAATTTAACAGGTTAGGTTAACCAATAAGCTCATATTTAACCAGTTAATTGATAAACTCTTGCATCCCTTCAAAGAAATGGAGAAGGTAGGGCTGCTTAGGGAGCTTGCTGTATCATACCTGTCAGCACATTACAGAACTGTCAGTCACATGCCTTCATCCAACCTAGGGATGTAAAGGGTTAACTAAGTAACAAGTTAGCATTGGCCTTATTGGCATGCTTACCCAGAAACCGTTTAACTGGTGGACCTGGGCCAGTGGGGGACTGCTTCAGGGTTAACTGGTTAACTTTTTAACTGGGAGTTTACATCCCTAATCCAAAGAGACTTATTGTGGAGGCAAAGTTTGCCTCAAAACAGCTTTCTCCAGCAGGTCTTGGCCTGGTATATGGAAACCAAAATCAATGTTTCTAGCAGCTCCAGTAAGGGTACGTCTAGACTACATGATTCTTTCGAAAGAGATCATCTACACAGCCACAACTTTTTTCGAAAGTTAACCAGTTAACCCTGAAGCAGTCCCCCACTGGCCCAGGTCCACCAGTTAAACGGTTTCTGGGTAAGCATGCCAATAAGGCCAATGCTAACTTGTTACTTAGTTAACCCTTTACATCCCTAGGTTGGATGAAGGCATGTGACTGACAGTTCTGTAATGTGCTGACAGGTATGATACAATCTGGATGCTCCCTTTCGATAAAGCCCTGTTTGCAGTCAAGAACGCCTTTTTTTCGAAAGAGCTCCTTCGAAAAATGGCGTTCTTCCTCGTAAAATGAGGTTTACCGCTGTTGGGAGAAAAAGCTGTGTTGTTTTGATTTAATTTCGAAAACACGGCAGCAATCTAGACTCCTGTGAAGTTTTTTCAAAAAAGGACACTTTTTTTGAAAAAAACCCTGTAGCCTAGACATAGCCAAAGTGAAATATTTTGAGCACTCATCAGACTTCCTCTTGAGTAAAGAGCCTTCCTGAGGCATTCCTCTGCTTTTCATTTTAGTGTGTTTGAACATCCTAACAACAAATGCTCCTTCAGTGAACTTACATGTACCTTGTCTGTCAGTCTGCTGAATAAGTATTTCTTTGTTTGTTTAGGGGCCTTATGATGTTGTGGTCCTGCCAGGTGGAAACCTAGGAGCTCAAAATTTGTCAGAGGTAAAATCATGACATTTGTAGATAATTCAAGACCTGTCTCTATGTCTTTAAGTGTTGCTTATGTTCTCCTGTGTCTGCAGCAAATTCAATCCAACATCAGAAACGAAATAAAACAGCCCAGCAACGTGCTGTAAGCTGTGCAGTTGCAGTTTTAACTAGTTATCCAGTGTAAAAGTGGGAAAGTGTTTTGTTTGTAGCATGAGGGTATAAATGATTAATGAACCAGATATAAAGTATTTTGATGCCACAACAGCTTAGAAATCGCCATATTGCAGTGACTCTCAAACTGTGGTCTAGTGTCTGTGACCATCTTGCACACAGGCCATGAGTTCAGGGCTCTACTGCCTTTGCGGGCACTCCAGCCCCACCCATCCCTCTCCCCCATTGTGAGGTTGGCTTCCTACTGCAGGAGGGATCCAGCTCACGGGGGAAGGCGGAAGCAGCTCCACAGCCCTAGGGTTCTACGATTCCGTGCTGCTGCTCCCCTCTCCCCCAGCTGGGGAAATGGCAGCACAGGAAACCAGTCACCTGGAGGCTTTCCCCGCTGCTCCCATTGGGCAGAATCCCAGTCAGCCACCCCAGCCTGCTTGTGCACCCAACCTCCTGGCTGGACTCTCCTCATCACCTCACCCCCCTTCAGCCTGCTCCTTCACCCTATCTCCTGACTCTCCTTATCCCTTCCCTCCCCCCCTCCAAGCGTGCTCCTTCTTCTGCTGGGAACCTGTACCCTCAGCCCCATCCTGCATCGTCTTTTATCATCATGGACTGGTGGTCCATGGAAGAGTTTGCATTGAGCAGGGTGGGCTGTGGGCCAAAAAGTTTGAGAACCACTATCATTAGATCCAGTGTAAGGGTCATCTAGTCTGGTATCCTGTCTAGCAATGTCCAGTAAGTAGCAACTGCTTTACTGGAAGTTATAAAAAAGCCCTCATTAAGCAAATGTGGAATAATTTAGCCCAGAAAACTGTTCTTGTCATCTCTCTTAGTTAACTGGATTAAGCCCTGATACATGAAGTTCAGTATAACTTCAAAATTACTTCTGTTGTTAACTCTGAATGTTCCTAATATCCAGTCTCTCTTTTTTTTAATCGTGTTGAGTTCTTGGCTTCAGCTACTTTCTATGGCAAAAATTCAGTTACATGTGGTCTGAGATTGTGTTCCCTTTAATGGTTTTGAATTTTCCACTTTTTGACTATTTCCTGTCTCGTTTCTTAACATTAAAACAAAAATTCCTGCTCTGCTTTCTCTGTATAATTCTTTATTTTTTGAATTTATTATGGAGAGTGAAGCATGATTTTTTTGGGGGGGAGGGGAGGAAATTAATTAATATAATACTATTTCTTTGTGCAGTCTCCTGCTGTGAAAGACATTTTGGTGGACCAGGAGACCAGAAAAGGCCTGATTGCTGCTATTTGTGCAGGTGCAGTAATGAGATGTCTTGTATTGTAACCTACTTGGCTGCTTTAAAGAACGGTTTGGGCAGGTGCCTCCTTTCCAAACTCTTTCAATACTAATGTGTTCCTATAGCTCCGTAGCAAGAGTAAAATGCAATCTAGAGTGGGAGAGGAGCTGTGATTTAACATGAGAGGTTCTGTAAAACCGTGAAACTTAATTATAACTTGCCAACACTCCTGATGCTTCTTCCTTGTCAAAGTTGTGGGCGTGGGGTTAGCAGCTGTGAAATGCAATATGCTTAGGTGTTCTGTAAAGTATGTGCTTATGCTAGCAGCCTCTCTGCCAGGGGGTATGTGCTGCCGGTACACCAGCAGTATAAATAATTTGGCCCTCAGTTGCCCTTACGTTTACAAATTTTCTTCCAAAATGGAAGATTACAGGTTCCCCATTCCTCATCCAGATGGCAGTGATGAAGAGAATTATTGTGGCCTCGTGTGGCTGCTTATGGGCCTATATATTACTCATTGCTTCATAAAGTGTTTGAAGTGTCTAGAAAGCAATATAAGCAAGTGCCAGCTCTCCCAGCTGGACTCTTATTGAAATGGTTGTTGGGAGCAGCCTTTGATCAGTGATTTCCTTCTGCCCATTGATATGTGTTTATTTAGTCTAGTCATATGTGGGCTCGGAAGGCCTCTAACTTTGATTTCTGGAACATCTTTGTTCTTTGGAGTGCTGTGGGAGTACCAAATGTCATTTCATTTGCTTTGAGAAGATTTATCTCATGGCTTAGCCCAGGCACCTGCAGAGTTTTGAATTTCCTCCTGCCACTTGAGGGACGGTAGTTTTGCGACAATCAATGTGAGCTTTCAACCATCCATAAAAGGACACTGTTCATAATAATGGATGTTCACTTGAAGAGAGTCATTGACTTTAATTATAGCTATTTGCAAAACAAATTGATAATTGAATAACACAAAAGTTGTTTCTTTCCTGGAACTGGCCTCTGAATGAGTCAAACTTGAACAATAAACAGAAACTAGTAAATTAGGCAAATTTTAACTTTTTGGAATTCCCATAATGGTTTTTTCCAGAGTACTTATCTAACTTTCTGCCACATTCCTTCCTCAATTCAGATCAAATGGGAAGTGTTCTCTCCTCTGTTTTATTACAGATTAAAAAAAAGCTATAGCTGCTAGTTCATAATTTGGGTTGATACCCAAGTGAATGTTCTTCCCTGGGTACTTGGCACACACAACTCTCAGCTGTGAGGTTTTCCCCAGAATATTTGTAATTAATCCATCTTTTGCATTGATAACACTGTACCTATTTAGTGTTCCATAAGATATTCTACCTCTTTTCTCCAATTTAAGCAGATACTGGAACAGTAGGAATGATTTGTTGAGGATGGGAGTCAAGTACAGAGATCATTTAATTTTTAAAACAGTCACATGTATTCCAAGATTTAGAGCTAAATAACAATCTGGTTTTTAATGTGCGTTCTCCCCAATGGAGCATTGATTTTGTTTGAACACCATTTACTTGTCTCTGTTGGGACATTTTATTTACTCCTTTGTAGTTAGGTGGGCCTTGACTGTGTGCATCCATGCTGGCATTGTGAGTCTGTCTTTGAACATTTGTTGAAAAGTACTTGTCTCCAATGGACTTGACACTAGTGACAGGTTCACTTTGTTTTACTTGCAGGTCCTACTGCCTTGCTGGCCCATGGGATAGGGTTTGGGAGGAAAGTTACAACACACCCTTTGGCCAAAGATAAAATGATGAATGGAGGTAGGTATAAACATTTACGGGCAAATGGAAGTGTTACATTTTCATGTCTCTGCCCTGAATACTGTGGAGGAAAGGGATTCACAGGCTCGTGTCCTCCATGCTGGCCAGAAAGAAAGGTGAGGGGAACCTTGACAAAACAGTTCTAGGAGCATTTTCCTCTCCTGTTTGATGCCTGCCAGCTTTCTCCTTTCTGAATTCTTACCTAAAAAACCCAGCAACCAAGCAAACTCAAATGGTGCCCTTCTTGCCTTCCAGAAACCCCAGCTGTCAAAGGGTGATCTTTTTCTCATGACATAAAGTGCTGTGATTTGGGGAAGGCATGTCATGCCCATTTCTCATTGCAGTTCCTTGCCACTAGCTGGACTTGGGGGAAGGAGATATTCAGGTGGGAAGGGTCTCTACCACTCCCTCCCAGAGGGAGCTAGGTAATCTAGCAAGTTTATAGAGACATTCAGTGGTTTCTAAAAATTCCCTGAGAATTAAGAGGTACACTAAATCCTCAGCACTGATGGGCTTTGTTAGCAGGGCATATGTTGAAGTGGGGTACGAATAAACTTGTTGGGCTTTGTGTCCCTGGAATAGTCTTTCTGTTTTATTTTCCTTATTGAAAATTTGTATGTGGCCCTATACCGCTGATACATACTACAGGTTGAACCTCTCTGATCCAGCAACACCCATAATCTGGCACGATTTGAATTAGCCCAATGCCTATTTATCATGGGTGGGACCACGTTTCCCGCAGTCCCATGAAGTTTTTTCACAGCCCCCAGTCCTGGCTCTCGGTGTCCTCAGAGCTTTCATGAGAAGGTGTTAGGTTTGCAAGCAACAGGCATTAATTAATGAAGCACGTATTAGGGGTGTAAAAGGTTAACCATTTAACAGGTTGCCCAGTGAGCATTAGGCTTACCGGGTAACCGGTTTCACAGCCCTTGCTGAGTCCAGCCTGCCACTGGGGCAGGGAGGGAGGTGGCAGGGAAGGCTACTCCTGCTTCTGCTGGTGAGATCCTGCCTGCATGGCTCTGGCCCAACTCTGGCCCTGGCTGTGCAGAAATGTCCCAGTGTGACTCTCGCTCTGGCCAGCCGCTACCCCTGCTGGTTCAGCTTTGCCCAGGCAGGCTGGCAGGACACCTCCCCGCCCCTCAGCCCAGGCTGGGCAGGCAGTTTAACTGGTTAAACATTTAACATTTTAGTCGTTTAACCAGTTAACTCTTCAAACCCTTTTTACATCCCTAACACATATTGTGTTATCAAACAGTACAAGTGCTGCTAGCTCTTGGGGAAGAAGAAAAGGGGCTTGAGACTTTTATTGTGGGTTTTTTCTTAATTCACTTACTACAAGCATGTGAGTAGGAGAGACTCGTCACTTTTATTTTAAAAAAATCCTAGGACTCGTGATAACCAAGCAAAGCTTTAAAAGTTTGAAAGCTAAAAGTTATAACACAATGAAACTTTTTAAAATCTTATGATTTGGGGGGATCCGACTCATGATTTTTGAATACTTGGCTAACAGTACTAAGTAGCGTGGCAGGTCTGGAAAAATTTGCCATATCATTACTGGAATCTACCTGATGTTTTTTCTCTGGTCTGCTTTCCCCTTCAAGACCATTACATGTACTCTGACAGCCGTGTGGAAAGGGACGGGAACTTTCTCACCAGCCGTGGCCCTGGCACCAGCTTTGAGTTTGGCCTGGCTATTGTTGAAATACTGATGGGGAAGGAGGTGGCTGATCAAGTGAAGGCTCCTCTTCTATTGAAAGATTAGTTCAGAAAGTTTGCTGAAGGGGAGGAGAGGGAGAAGAACACAAACTGAAATGGAAAGGTTCTTGTTTCCCTTCTGAAGAGTAAGAAAAAAGCTATGGGCTGCATAAAATCTAATTGTGAAGTAAACTCCAGTAGTATCACATTGAACTGACCAGCACTTAACATTTACATTAGGAACTGGAATAATTTACAGGCTAATGGTTTTTGTTCTTAAGAGAAATTTACTTAAATGTACCTGCTTAGCTAATGAAACTGGTGCACTAAAACAACATAAACAACAGTGATATCCTTTAATAGTTTCAGAATCACATGAACAAAACTTGTTTGCTTGCTAAAATAAAAGGAACTCTGCTTAAAAAGTGACTTGCTGCTTGTTTTGTGTCTTGCAGTTGTGAAACGGTGCCAGAATTTCTTTTACCAGTTTGGGGAGTAATGTTGTTGTGATCTTAATGTCTATAACCATTTAAATCTAAAAATGTGGGCAGTTTCTTGTGACATCCTAATAAATGCCAGATTGAATTGTTGATACCCATGTGGGATACTTGCACAATAAAACTGTTTATATCGTTAACAATATATTTAATAAATAAGGAAGTCACAGTTAAATCAAGCCCCCTGCCAACTGTAACCTTTCTTTTTTCTTTTTTTTTCTTTTTTCTTTTTGTAATGTGTATAACACTGCAGGTGCCTGCCAAAAATCAGAAACATTTCACTTTCACGGCATTCCACAATTCTTTCTTTCAGATAGTGGCTTGTTTGGGCTGCTGTTTGCATTTGGCTTGAGACTTAATTTGATTTTTTATAATTCAGAAAAAGTTCTTGTAGATCAATTTGTAATAATGCTCCATGTATAGTGACAACTGATACATTCATATTTACTAATAAAGGACTAAAAATAAGGGGAGAGGTGGCTTAATACTCAGACCTTGCACCCCTGATGGAAAGATTTGGTCCAACTTATGTCAAAAATCTCTGCTTGCTGCCATTCTAGTCCCAAGTGAACATCTGCCATTATTTTGGAGCTTGTCTCTGGTATGCCAGGATTTGACACAGCAGCGATTGATCTACCAGCTGTCAATTGATCACATCTGCTTAGAAAAGATGAAATCTATGTCAGAGCACTTTTCCATCTGTTCTGATTCCCCATGAGGATCAGAAAAGTAGGCAGAGTTGACAGAAGAGCAGCTCCTGCCGACCTTACTGCACACAACACACCACTGACTCAGGTACACTGTTAGCATAGATGCAGTCATGCAGATTAGATTTCTGGGGGTTAGTATGGACAAGGTCTTAGTTTGACAATACACAGCCTGCTCGCAGCATGGGTGGAGAGGTGAGGTTTGGAGAGTAGCGAACAGAAGCAGGTAACCAGAATCTTCCCGGATAATTTGTTGTCTGTAGTGTGGTGTGCTTCCTGCCTCACAGAAATATACAGATGTGTGATCTGTTTGTTTGGGGAGGGGATGCTGAACCTACCAGCTTACCAGGGAATGCTGAGAGCTTCTTAATGAGGCTTTGATCCTGACTAATGTATCTAATCTTCACCACTACACACCACCCCCACATGCTAATCAGGCAATGGACGTGACACCAATCTATACAGCACACTAGACCCGTGGTCACCAACCAGTAGATCAGAATCTACTGGTAGATTTAGGAGCCTCTGGGATCCTGACTGGGTTGGCCAGGGACCTATCAAGTGCTGTCACTTCAGTTGCCCCTCCACCCACTGACATGCTCCTGTCCTCTGCCTTGGAGCTACCCCCCGTGTGAGCCTCCTACTTGCTGTGCAGGGTGTGGGAGAAAGAAGGGGGGTGCTGATGTCAGGGTGTCCCTCCTCCCCCCACTCCTTTACCTATTTCCACACCGAGAGAAGGCGAGGGAGGGAGCTTGGCAATGCAAATCTCTGTCACTCTCACACTGGGTGTCTGTCATTTTCTCAAACACACAGGGTACGTCTAGACTACAGGGTTTTGTCGACAGAAGCTTTGTCGACAGATACTGTCAACAAAGCTTCTGTCGATATCAAACACTGGCACTTCAGTTGCCCCTCCACCCACTGTCATGCTGCTCTGCCCTCTGCCTTGGAGCTGCCCCCGTGGGAGCCTCCTGCTTACTATGCAGGATGTGGGAGGGAGAAGGGAGGAGGGTGCTGATCTCAGGGTGTCCCTCCTCCCCCCACTTCTGTACCCTATCTCCACACATACAAAAGGGGATGGAAGGAGCTTGGCAATGCAAATCTCTGTCACTCTCACACACTGTGCGTGTCTCTGTCATTCTCACAAACACACACTGTCCTGCACTCTCATCTCCTGACCCAACACACACATGGAGGGTTGTTACTTTTACAGCTTGTGAAGTGGGATAGTTTTGGTTTCTGACTGGTCTGTGCATTTCATAATTTTCATTTCTCTCTTATGTGTCAATCTAATTCTTTGAGGAGTGAATTCTAACGTGCCTAACCTGTTGTGGCTGGAGTCATTATCCCTGTGGTAATTGCTGCTCCTGGAAGTGGCTGGCATGTCCCTGCAGCCCCTGAGAAAGCTAGAGCCCCTACTCCACATACTGTCCTCACCTGCACACACCACTCCTGCAGCTCTCATTGATGAATAACGGAATTGTGGCCAGTAGCAGCTGTGGGCTCAGTGCTTTTAGATGAGGGACAGCACATGGCACCATGGAGCCACTGCTGACCAAGCCCGCTGCTTTCAGGAGTGGTGCAGGGCCAGGGCAGGAGTAAGCCTGCCTTAACCCCACTGCTCCACCACCCAGAAGCTGTTTCAGTTAGCAGTGCCCAGCCAGAACATAAGAACCTGCCTCCTGAACCCCGCTCCCAGCCCCGAACTTCCTCCTGCACCCACCCTTCTGCCCCAGACATGAGTCCCTCTGCACCCAAAGTCCTTTCCATAGCTTGCATCCTGAAACCCCTTCTGGATCCCAATCTGCGACCCTGGGCTAAACCTGGAGCCCCTCCCATTCTCCAAACCCCTTATCCCAAGACCGGAGCTTGCACCCCTACCCCAGCCTAGTGAAAGTGAATGAGGCTGGGGGAGGAAGGGGCTGGAGTGAGCAGGATGAGGCCTTGGAGAAGGGATGGGGCAGAGCCTCAAAGAAAGGGTGGGAAGGAAGCGGGGCAAAGGTATTTGTGTTTGAGGTAGATCTTAGATCTTACATTGCACTTAAATTTAAAAAGTGATCTTGTGGTTAAAAAGATTGGAGACCACCGCTCTAGACTGTGCATCACATGCAGAGACTAGGGGGAACTGAGGTGCACCAGTGGCAGGGAAATTCAGTATGCACAAACACCTGGAAAGTGACCCACACTTGCATGCTACAGAGAGAGCAAAAAACCCCTCAAGGTCACTGTCAGACTGACTTGGGGGGACTCTTCTAGACCAATGCGAGCAGGAAGCAGCCACAGAAACACCTCAGAGAATTAAAGTTTGGGACCTCCTCAGGGCCTTGGCCTGCTTACCTCCTCAGGTCCCATCACCAATCACAGCTGGCCCTGCTGATTCAGAGGAAGGTGAGTTTAACGAAATAAACCTGCTCAGACTACACTTGGGCTACATCTACGCTGCAGGCTTTTTGCGCAAGAACTGTTTTGCAGAAGAGTTCTTGTACAGAATGGCAACGTCTACACTGGCATGACTTTCCGGAAATGCTTTTAACGGAAAAGTTTTCCGGTAAAAGCATTTTCGGAAAAGCGCGTCTAGATTGGCAGGACGCTTTTCCGGCAAAGCACTTTTTCCAGAAAAGCGTCCGTGGCCAATGTAGACGTGCTTTTTCACAAAAAAGCCGTCATTTTCGCGATCGGGGCTTTTTTGCGGAAAACACTACTGTGCTGTCTATACTGGCCCTTTTCCAGAACAGTTTTCTGGAAAAAGACTTGCCCGAACGGGAGCAGCATAGTTTTTCCGGAAAAGCACTGATGATTTTACATTAGATTGTCAGTGCTTTTCCGGAAATTCAAGCAGCCAGTGTAGACAGCTGGCAAGTTTTTCCGGAAAAGCGGCTGATTTTCCGGAATAACTTACCAGTGTGGACACAGCCAATATCTTCCACAAGAGCAGGCCCACACTGCCATGTGATTTTGTTCAAGAGCATCCATTCCAGTGTGGGGACACTTGGGCAAGAAAGCTTTGATGGCCATTTTAGCCATAGAGGCTTCTTGCGCAAGAAATTCATGTTGCCTGTCTACAGTGCCTGCTGGAAGAACTCTTGCACAAGAAGGCTTATTCCTCGTGGGGGGAGGAATAACTCATCCGGAAGAAGCCCTGTTTTCCAACTCTGTACTATACTTGTGCAAGAACGCGCGTGCAGTGTAGACAGCCGGCAAGTTTTTGCGCAAGAACAGCTGTTCTTGCACAAGAAGCATGCAATGTAGACACAGCCTTGGGGCTTGGGGGGAAATCCCTCCCTGAACTCTGGGGAGGGCCAGATGAAGCTGTGATGCCTGATTTTAGATTATAAAACATAAATCCAACAGGAGCCCTGGGGCTACTGAGCCCTGCCACCACAAACAACTCAGCCTACAACTATGTTTGGTCAGCCTGCACAAAAGCAATTAAGTTGGTCCCCCTCCCCCAACTCCTGCTGGGAGGCTGTTCAGGAACCACCTCCCTTCCATGGTAAGACAACTTCTCATTTTCAGTCTGATTTATTTTTCTTGCACCAATGTTGGTCTTTCACTTAAATAGAGCTTGATCTCTTTCCTCTCCCTCCAGTCTTTACTTACAGCCGTGGTGGCCAACAAACTAGCCCCTTGCGGCATTTGGCAGGTTGAGGGAGGCTAGTTCACTAGAGCAGTAGCCGCTAGGGCGGCTGCTGCTTCCATAGGGGTTGGACACCCCAGCCCGACAGTGCAGTGCTAGAGCAGGCATACTCCCTCGGCCGTATTCTTTTGGTTATTTTTTGTTTATGATCCTAAATAATTTTCACTCCCCATGGCGGTTTATGCCGGTCAGTTTCTTGTAGTGCCTTTTAACACTATTGGGGGCTGGTGCACCATTGTGGGCACCTCAATACTGGGGGGAGCCCCAGAGGCCAGATCCAGGCAAGCTGGTGGCCACATCTAGGCCCCGGGCCTGAGGTTCCCCGCCCTGGCTTTAAACAATAGGTATGACTCTCGAACCATTTCCAGCGCATGGGCCCCGGCGGGTACTTTGACTGCTCTGTGGAGAACACAGCGTGCTGGGCATGTTTAACATCCACAAGATGCCACTGAATACAATTTGCTCTTCCATTGGAAAATGGCCACAAGGCCAGACGTCTTTCTGATGAGCAGGGGATGTACTTGGCAGCACAACGAATAAGTGGTTGTCCATCCTATTTAATATTTTTCCTAAAAGGGGTTTGGGCTT